CGGCTCCATACGAAAATTGCATGCAGATTAAACTACCAAACCGATAACATCTCATGGACATAATGAATGACGTTTAAAAATTTCGGACGAGTAAAAAAAAATAAAACCTCTTTCATTATACTGAAAATAAAAGTTTAACGAATACAAGTTCGTTTCTCGTCCATTTTACGATCATATTTTAGAAATCCCTTTATATGTTTATAAAATCATTTTAAAATGTCCCTATAACGAAACAATTGCATTTTACTATGTACACTTTCATAAACTCTTTCCTCTCCTATTAACACACACACATACAGATAGGAGAAATGATTTATACCACTTTTCCATCCAACAGGTTCATTTCAATCGATTAATTATCTGTAGTCAACCGGATCTTCGATAAAGAAAAAGCGTGCGCGCAAGATGCATTTGAAAACACATTTACCTAATTAATGCACGTGTCCACTGATGCGACAAGTTTGACAGCTTATAACTTTCTATCAAAACAGCGGACGAAAAAAAAGAAGGAAAAAGTACCGAAGCGAGGTGAAAATGTAAAGTTGTCTTCACACTTTCGAGAACATGCGAAATGCGGTATATCGATATCGACATAACCGAGTCAATAATTTGCACGTGACATCGGATAGTTATAATTAGCACCGGCATCAGTGTGAAATATTAAGATTCCCCGTGCTTTAATTTAGAGCGCATTAGGCTAATTCGCGTATTGAATGACGAGCACGAGGGTGTGAAGAATCGCGTGTGAAGAATGTTGAACAACAACTATATCAGTATTTTACATCAATAAAAACGTTACGTTAAATTGTTTGCTGCAAAAATTTCGCCATTTATTAATATTTATCTAATACTTATCTTCGCATCTCAATATTCATGTTTCAGGTATACTGAAGCATAATTTTACTTTGGTATCGCAATACGAAAAAGTTCGATATTTTTATATGTAGATAATAAATTATATTTTCCATCGGCGCGTTTTAAAAATTTAAATGTACCTTTTATCAGATGATTAAAAAATTAAATAAATATATTCAAACACAATAAATAATCGGGTAACCATAACAAAATAATTCCATATGTGTGGCGCTGTCACGGGAGCAATATTTTTTCCGTCCGAATACCTTGTGTTAATATCGCCAGCCAAATTATCGGGCGGACGCGCCGATCGCAACATGTGTTCGTCTGCAACCTCGTACGTGTACGGGTAAAAATAACGGTACGGAGGCGATCTCTCATCGCCGAAAACTGGTTCCCTCGGATGCCTCGGAGTGACTTCGATTAAGAGGCGGTCCGCGCGGCGCGTTAAAACCAACCGCGGCAAACGCGAAACGATCGTTCGAGAACGCCTTCATGAATTTTCATATCAATGGAACGGTTCACGCGAACGCGAACCGATTCACGGGGCGAGATTATCGCACGTGCGTCGCACTCCTCCGCGACAGGTAATTCACCTTCGGGTGGCGAACGGTGGAGTGCTTCTCGCTCGTACGGCCGAGAAATAGGTGCATTGTGTTGCACCTAGCCGCTTCCAAAGACGAGCGACGGGCGCGTGCTTGACGGCGCGACGCGTGCTACGCACGTGTCCGAACCAGTTTCGCGATGGCTTCCCCCAAGAAGGTACTCGAGGGAGTGCCTATCGTCGTAAATCTCGTATATACGAATCGAGAAACGACTCGATCGCTCCGTCCTATTAGATATTCTTTCGGGTATATCCTGTACTCCTCGCGTGTCTCACGTGAGAGAAATTTTTATTTTAATTTAATTGCGTTTAACAAATTAATCCTGCTTCTGCTTTAAAGAGTTCTGCAATTGAACTTGTAGCATCTATCTCATGGGTGAGATTTCAGCGCAGATTCTGAAATCGCAACGAAAGCATTTCGCCTATACGCTAATCTCGATCGCGACACGCCGTAAGCGGGCCATAAGCGAAATCGATTTAAATCTCGTGACGGCGCGTGATTTACCGTTCGTTTTCACGCGGCGTGAAACAAGAAAAAAAAAGGAAGAAAAAAACGTCGGCGGTAAAATCTCTGCGGAATATCCGCGGGTCTCCTAAGATACTTGATGAATACGAGGATATTAACATTTAACCACCTGTTCGTGCGATGTCATTACTCGGCAATAAAAACACACATAAATACAGATGTCCGTATTCGCCTTTGCTCCAAAACTCAAAAGCAAAAGGCGCGTCCTGCTTCCAAATTTTTTGTTTTTTTTCTTTAAGTTAAAACAGATATTATTTACTTATCAGCATTCCGTGAAATTTGAAACAATTTCTCCCACGTGTCTGATTTGATTTATTAAGAATTTTCCTGCTCAAATGTACGAAATTAAAAATTGAAGAAAGAATGAGTTTATGATTTAATTAATTATATAAATATCAATTATGTAGAAACAAATTTTAGATATAAAAATTAAATACATATATACTCTGTAAAAGCTATTGTACACGAAAGGTGTTCCGAATGACGCAGAGTGTAGGAAACAAAAATTGTTTTCTTGGTGATAAACAAAACATAAGTTACTCCACTTCGCAGTTACTTGTTGCCGGGATGAAGTCGGGTAAATAAATTATTAACTGACAGGATCTCGAGCCGGCGCATTACATGTCACAGCGGGAGTCGTAAATAAAAGCAACGTCGCGAGCAGCTAACGGCAGCTGACAGCGCGCATCTTGTTGCGACACAGTGAAGCGCAATTAAGCGCACGTTATGAATGAACCAGCGCAATGTCAGGGACGGGTAGCCGAGCTATGCCGAGGCGACGACGTCGCGCGCATCCCTTTCCCGGACTGACAGAACGCGCCTGTAAGTGAGGTTAGGCGTCGTCGCAAAGGGAGGAAAGCACGCACGACGCGAAGTGATCGCCGGTGCACGGAACGACCGGAAGTCCGCGCCGTTTTTTCGCGAGCGAATTTCGCGACTTCCTCGCGCGAGAATCGCGCGGGGGCGAGGAACCCACCGCGATCTCCTCCCCCGTCCGAGTCGCGAGACTCGCGAGATCCGCGCGATTCCGTACGCGGGGACGCGCGCGCGTAATTTCGCTCCGACCGCGAGCCGGCCGCGATTCTCGGTAAAAATAAATCGCGGGTCGGTTGACAGCGGCGATGCCGCGGCAGGGTGGCACGAACGCGCGTAGGAGCTCTTCGTGTCTCTACGTCTCCTCACACTCTCTCTCTCTCCTCTCTCTTACTGTCTCTCTTTCTCGGGCAGAGACCGTCCCCCGTGCGGTTGACGCGCGCGGAGAACCCGCGCCCGCCGTCGGCGGGCGCGCGACGCGTCTCGGGAATTATGTAACTATTGTTGAACGGCACGTAAATAAAGGCTACTTACCGCTGATCGAGGCGAAAAACGTCAGGATCGCGCGCGCACACACACACGTTACACGTTCCGCGGAGGCCGCTCGCGGCGCACTGCCGCGCGATGGCGCCCGCGCGCCGCCGCCATCTTGGATCGATCGTCGCCGACGCGGCCCGGGTGGGACACGCGAATTTCCAATTCCTCCGCGCGCGGACGCGGCCAACGGTATTGCATTTTGCAAGTTTTCTGTATTCCCGCGGATATTTCGCAATCCGTGTTTTAGCAAATGAACACGATAATATGCAGTAGTTAATAAGTTCGATTAATTCAACTGACAGAAATTGCTTATAGCGAAATTTCTAACTGTGTAATTCGTCGTCCCTATAATCTCTAATCTCGCTTCCACAAGTCAAATAACAATAGATTAATATTTCATAAATAAAATACTACTTGATAAGTTTATAATCGATTAAATTGATCGATGATTGAATTTAAGAAATTGCAATACGATACAACAGCGTGATTGATTGTGGAAAACTAAAGACAGGGCATTTCAAGTTAAATCTTAAACAGAAATTATTTATAGCGAAATTTCTAACTGTACCATTCGTCGTCCCTATAATCTCTAATCTCGCTTCCACAAGTCAAATAACAATAGATTAATATTTCATAAACAAAATAGTACTACTTGATAAGTTTATAATCGATTAAATTGATCGATGATTGAATTTAAGAAATTACAATACAACAGCGTGATTGATTGTGGAAAACTAAAGACAGGACATTTCAAGTTAAATCTTAAACAGAAATTATTTATAGCGAAATTTCTAACTGTACAATTCGTCGTCCCTATAATCTCTAATCTCGCTTTCCACAATTCAAATAACAATAGATTAATATTTCATAAACAAAATAGTATTACTTAATAAGTTTATAATCGATTAAATTGATTGATGGTTGAATTTAAGAAATTGCAATACAATACAACAGCGTGATTGTGGAAAACTAAAGACAGGACATTTCAAGTTAAATCTAATTCGATCGTCTCTTATACACATTCCAAGGGTTCAATAGCCTCTTTTAATTTTGCAAATTCTAATTTTAGAAAACCGATAATAGAAGTCTCGGCGATGTGAAATAAAAACGAGCCGTTTGATTCTTCGCCATTTAATGTTTTCTTACACATTTAGAACATAAATAACAACAATGCGTAACGTGTATCACGTCGGTTTGTTTGATGGGGGATCATCAGTAAAACGCAAAATAGCGAGGTTTCCAAGTTCTGTATGATAATAAATAAATAACATAAATCTCGGAACGTATCGGCAAAATGACACTCACAATTATGTCATTTGATTCTTATAAACTTAGGAACGTAAATAGTAACAAATGGCGCGCGCACACAACATTCATATACTCGGTCATGCAATACGTGCAGTCATTTGCGGAAAAATAATGTATTTTGATAGGAGACGTCGAGTGAGTAATAGGAATAATATTAAATGCGTGTAATACACGCGACTTGGATGAAAAAGTATAAAAACAACTGAAAAATCTAAACCGCGAAATGCAACTTTCAAACTGACTTGTCGACTGTTTTATCGAGACGCATCTCCAGACATAAAGAGTTAATTGTAAGTTTAATATACATATATAATTATATATATTGTATAATTATATACATAATTATATATAATATATAATAATATATATAATTATATTACATACAACCTGACTTTTACTAATATTTTCGTCACCCGTTTCTATTATTTAAATGATATTTAGAGTAGTAATTCTTAAATATACACTTCCTTTACGTACAATAACTCTCGTCTGAGTATTATTTATCAGTACTATAAATACTCAATCAGACCATATCAGTACGATCACTTCTTACAAATAGTGCAGAGAATTATATTATTTTTACGAATTAAAATACTTAAAGAGACATATAATTGTATATGGATATCTGTTATGTCGTGGATGACGTACAATTCAAAGTCGCTTCTTCATTTGCATGAGAAAGTTTGATACACAAGCTTACGCGCAGCTCTTTTTTTTTGTCTACGCCGTCAATAGCTATTAAAAATTAAATTTATCAATAGAAACGGCTTATCCATTACTTAACAGGTATACCCTCTTGCATCGCAAACTTATCACCGCGAATTAAAGCGATGCGCGTTTCTCATTCTGATACTCTACTATAAATCTGCGTCAATTCCAATATTTCATGAAAATCACAAAAACAGCACTGGAAGCTTAGAACGTGTGCGCGTTGCGGCAAATTCCGCAACCCAGAGCGAACTCTTCTCCCGTCGATGGATGTTTCACGTGTAGTGGACATTCGTCTCCTTCCAGTTGCTTAGCCTTAGGACCTTCGAGGAAAAGAGCAATGTTTGTCGCGTTACTCTTTGAAAAAAATAGTTATCGTTATGAGAAAATCGGGAAAGCGTATTTTACGTACCGGCAGGACACATAGGCAGCTCGCTCTTCGGGATAGTGGTAACACGTTGGAAGTCATCGTGGCAAGGCTTGCAGAAGTGCGTGGTTCCGAAGCAGAAGAAGACCGCCACCGAGCAGCAATATCGGCATTTATACTCGAGAAAGTCCGCCCCGTGCTTCGGGCACATTTGCGCCCTCGCCACGTCGCTACAACCGCCGCACACCAGTTCAGCCGGGTCGAACGATTCCCCGCCTAACTGCGCGTCGCAGCGTGCCTCGCCGCCGTAGTAAGCCTTCTGGCATTTGTAACACACGTAATACGCGTACCGTTCCATCGCGTAAGCAGAGGGATCCTGATAACGACCGCCCGATGCGAAAGCGCCTTCGGCCCTGCGGAAAAAAAAAACCAAATAATTCCAATTACATTTACACACCGCGTCAATTTATATATCGCATCCAGTATTGACGAGAGAAGTAATTTATACTTGTGCAAGCCTTCGTATTCCAATCGCATCAGCGCCTTCCTTCGCACGTCTTCGTACAGCTCTTTCACACTGGCCAATTGTTCGGATAACGTCGGATGGTCCATCGGTATTTTACAGATCGGGCACAGAGAGAAGCCGAACGTGATTCGCGGTCCCACCCAACGCTTCATCAGGACGTGTCGGCAACAGTGCAGATGGAACACGTGGCCGCACTGCAGCTGGATCGCCGGCGCGCAAGACAGGGCCTCGGTGAAGCAAATCATGCACATATCGTCGGCGTCCTGTTTCAAATCGGTCCCCGGTAAACAACGATGGAGGCAAGGTAGGCAAGTACGCTCGTTCCTAACACCCCCGCAAATGTGGCCGCAAGAGTGGACCATGTTACACGCGTTTTTAGCGTGCTCCTGGCAATCGTGATCGGCGCAAATGTTGCCTATCGCTAGCAAACCCGTGTTCCCCGTAGTACCGCAAAATCGACAAATACCGGTAGTGGCGCCGACCGGCTTCCTCGCCGCGCCGTCGCGAAACTCGACCAGTGCCTTCAGCGTCCTACTGTCCGCCAAAGCCAAAATCCAGAAGAGCTTCGTTCTACCACAACCTTCGTGGAGGTCCACCCGTATCGCTTCCTCCTCCTCCTTACACACTTGTCTGAGATGCGTTCGCGTTCTTCGATGAAGATGAAGAATTCTATCGCATTCCGCGCACAAATTGCCACAAACGTTGCATTGAATAATGGCCGTCGTTTCGTCGTCATCATGATTACTACATGTTGGCTGTAAAAAATAAAGAAAAAAAAGAGCAAAGTCAGTAAGTTACTCTTACACTGTACAGTAATTCGAAGGGGTGAACGATAATCTTACCCTTGGTGGCAGCGGCTGCCCTTCAGAACCGCTCCATTGACCGGACGACAATCTTTCTACGTGTTCCGAATTCAAAACGCACAATGAAGCGAGTGCTAACCATAGCGTCGGAGATCGAAGGCATTCCGTGGGATCGCGACTCTTCTCGTCCAATCTGGTTAAGTTTAGGATATTTTCCGCTATAGCCGCTTTCGTTACAGACGCCCATTCCTCCGATAATTTACCCTAATATAAAAAATAAAAGATTAGTTTCATTAATTTGGATATTATAAAGCAAATTAAACGTGATACTCACCGATGCCATGTCCTTCAAAAGTTGAATTATCACTTCAGCCAGCTTACGCGTCATGCAACCCCTCAACCACCATCTCGTTCCAACGTAACTTTTCGGATGGATACTGGTAGCTAACGATACGGTTTGAAGCGCTTTGCCGTTGTTTTCTTTTCCCTTCACTTTGACTTGCACAGTCAACGCTTTCGCGATGCAGCTTAAAAATACATCGAGAATTCCGGCGGAGTGTTCGTCGAAATCCGAGGCGTGAGTGAAGCCGCTGTTCGCCGCGGATACGATGCTGAAATCAGTAGGCGGCAGTCGTTCGACGCTTATAACGGTCGCTAGTGTCTCAGGTTTGATTTCGGGCAATATCCGCCGTAGGAGGGATGTTACCTAAAAATATGACACAACATTTGTATTGATTGTTTCGAACTTTACATTTGATTTTGCAACGCTAATAAAGACATACTTGACGTTGCACTCTTGCCGATCCGGTGTGCAATAAACTCAACAGATCTTTCAACAATCCGGTCTGATGTGATAAATAATATTGTCCTACAGAACTACCGCTTAGAGCAAGAACCATTGAAAGCATTTCGAAGCAATAAGTATCGGCCGCCTTCGGGAGATCACTATTGTCGCTCAACACGCTATTCGCGGGTGTCGGCGAACACAAAAGTGTCTCCCATTCTTCTCGCAGGCGTACCGTCTCCTTTCTAATCGCTTGCACGATATGAGTGCACACTTGTTTCTGCAAATGCGTCAAATTGCTTCTGCTGAACAGTATTCCGACCATATGCTCCCGGAGATCGTTACTGTCCTCCAAATCCTCATTAGCACCTTCCGTCGGTTCCATCTGCTGTTGCTTCTCACCTTGTATAAGTTTTCCAAATACCTGTAATACGTAACATGACATTGTAAAAAAAAAAAAACGTTAAATTGAGAAGTAAATTGCGAGAAATCATGCACACTCACCTGAGATGTGATTAGTCGAAACACCTTCAAAGTTTCTGCCTCGCAATTTCTTTGTTGAATGGTCTGTGCGCTTAGCTGTTTTCCTACTTTCAGCGATCCTCCTTCGATCTCGCCCAGCATCCTGATTTGACGAACTCTCAAAGAGTTATCTGGGCCCTTTAGTTCCATACCCACGACTACATGGCGTTGATCTGTGAAGAAATACATTGCAATATTTTCAACAATATTTTATTGTTAGTAAATATTTTGTATTATTAATATATAAAAGGAGGCAGAATCAGCATTCTTAAAATAAAATACATTTTCTCTTTGAATGGCTTTAAGATATTAATAATATATTTGAATGCCTATTCTAATATATTAATAATTCAAATCTTTTTATATTACCAGTGATTGGGCAATTAATCCATCCAGCTGATCTACTTTCGATCTCTACAGATCTTAATTTTACCATCTCGTCAGCATTGATGCCAGATAAGAAAGTCACGCTTGACACTTTGTGCTTGAAAATAAATTTCAAATTAGACAAACGTTAAATAAAGCAAAATCCAGTTTTATGAAAAAAAAACTTACTGTTAAATCGCGGCAATTATCGATGTGTACGTATAACATTCTGGGTAAGGAATGAGCGCCACAGAGGATTGTAATCACTTTAGTTTTATTACGATCTTCGTCCCCAGATTCCCAAAATGTTTCTGTCGAATTGTCCGTTAGACTACCAATCATGGCTGGTCTACTAGAGGCTTTGATCTCGATGCTGGATGTTAAATCCTTCAAAGATTCCACCCAACTGCTTATTTGTTGCGAAGCTGTCGATTGGTGGCTCTCGTGCATGCTCATCGTTACATCTTCCTCTTCCTCGGAACGCGAAAGGATCTTACTGATGTTACTAAATACGTGACTTCTATGTAGGAACATGTGATCCGCTGGTGTAAATCGAATACCCCAGCATCGAATCGCGGCTTGTTGCAACGGAGATCCTGTAAATCAATGTTATTGTAATACACCATTAAATTAAATCTTTTTTTTTTTAATTTGCTGATAACAACTTACCAAGCGGCGGTAATAGCATTAAATCCGCAATTGTTTGCAGCAAAGTGTGAAACACCGTAGGTAATGGATTGACGGATTCTCCGGCTATTACTAAATCACTTAAAGGATGTTCGCTGACACCAATCATATCCTACAAATTAAAGTATATCGCAATACTAAGTATCGCACATTTGTCTAAACGTTAAAATAAATTCTTGTTAAAAACATTACTTACATGATCTTCCTTCTTTTCCGTTCTGTTATCATCGTCGTTCGCATCCGTATTGTCGGAGGCGACAACCGGCGTAAGAGACGAGACGAACCACCAGAGTAAGTCGTGCAAACAAATTGGCTGCGTTACGCTTCTCAAAAGCCAATTTAACGCCTGCATGGCATAAACTCGACAAGCGGCACGGCGCAACGCTTGCTTCATCGCAAGCTGCAGATGCTGCAAATTATGCTGCTGAAGAACGAACAGCATCACGGGTCTCATGAGGATCTCTATTCGATCGTTACTCGCTACTTCGATTTGACTAGTAGATACTATAGCGGATTGATCCATCGATGGCACTAGTTTCTGCAGTGCAGCGGATGGGTAACATAAAAGCGAAGAACCCGCTTCTGAAAAACGGCAAGATATTTAGTTATATCAATACCTATAGTTATAGTATTGATAACTAATACTTATAGTATTAATAGTTATACCAATATTTAGTTAAGGAAAAATTTATTTTTGCATTTAACGCGTATTTATAATTATCGTTTAAAATATAAACGTACCGTTATTCATTTCGCTACTGCTGTTATTTCGTTTCCTCATCATAACGACTCTGCCGTCGTTACTGTTTCTGGCCCAAGGTGCACCGGTAGACATAGACACCGATCTATGAAAAGTACTACGATTTTTACCGCCTTCATTATCACTATCACTCGTCGGATATTCCGACAATGGCTGCAAGTAAGATAATGATGATTAAAGCGATGTTGATTGTTAAAAATAGCAAAAAAAAAAAGAAGAGTATTTCCTTACCCTGCCACTCGTGTTGTTGAACGTGCCGCTGTTTCCCTCGTAATTGTTTTGCTGTCCATTTTCACGTCTCAGAGTTTCTTCGTAATATCTTTCGTCATGACTCTGCGAGTGATGAACACCTAAGGCTTGCAAACATTGGAATGGTCCAGTAGGTGGAAATGGTCCGGTGGCCTCGGGAGGGCTATAATTCTCAGCCACGGACGATAAAGTCTGCGACGGTCGTCTCTGCTGTTTAGGGATATTAAAGCCAGACGCACTAGCCAGATCCAGCAGAAACATCGCGTTGTTTTTCATAATTATATGAGTTTCGTTTCCGCTGGGGCTGTTAATCGGCGACAGAACCTTGCCGTTCTTTCTCTTGGAAATCCCGCTCACGAATTTCTTCGCGAACTTACTCTTTCTGGCCTTCAGATATTTATCTCTGCACGTGTCGCAGATTAAGTACCACGAGCTACCGCCGACCCCGCCATCGCCGCAGTTGCCTGCCCATCCCACGCAATAGTTTCCGCCGCTGTTGTATCCTTTTCCGCCCGCGTGCCAGCCACAGCCAGGATGCATCATCTTCATATGATAAGTGACTGGATGTGGGAACATCGAGCCGCAAAGCTCGCAGATGGTCTCGCGTTCAATTCCCGCTAAAGCCTCTAAAACCTCAGACGCGTTCGGTCTGCCTAACGGCTTCCACTCCTTCTTCTTCCGGCTGCCTTTCTTCTCGCGTTCCTTCACTTTATCCTCCCTGGGACGTTTCTCCGGTATCGGTCGTTTCGCCAGCTTCATCGTTTGTATCTGCGATATGGGACTAGGCAGGATCGATTGCTGTTCGATGGCTTGCAGGCAATTGGTACTGAGTTCTTCCCACAGAAAAACTAGGCTCTTTAACGCCGGTGGTAGTACCGCGACCGTATGAAACTCAGGCAGAGAACTGAGCTTGCCCGCATTCGCCTGAATCTCCTCTTTGATCGTGTTCTCCTGCTTTTTCCTATTCCTATTGGCATTAGCGTTCGCGGCCGAACGCGTGAGAGTCTCCAACGTGCTGGGCTGAATGTGCAAATAATTACCGGCGTTCGTCACCTCGACGGAGTGTCTTTGACGTGCCTTTTGCTCCTGTTGCTGCTTGTCGCTGGATTGCACCACCGTTTGTCTGGTTACGACCAGCGCACCCTGTTTCGGTAAGCTCGGGTGGAACTTGAGAAAACTCGCGCAAGCCATGGCGTCGTGTACGATTCCTTCGTGCCACAAGAACGCGGCGAAAACAGCTCTCAGGCACTCCGCTACGGAAGGACTGATCGCTTCTTTCACCTTGTCTTTACATAAATTTAGAGCACGATTAGGACTGGGGCTCTGCTGCGCGTTGGCGGGTGACATGGCGCGCTTCGCTCTCGTTTTCACGGCTTTTATGTGATCTCTCCTGTTCATCTTCGGCGAGTGCCGCTCGTCCTTTACGCCGGACGAACCGATGTTGAAGTGGCCCTTCATAGCCGTGGTAGCGCTCTCGGGGCTTGTCTGCGTTTGCGCTTGAGATACTTTGCGCGGACTTTCTTGCGAATCCTTTAAGAAACAATGTACCTCTTTGCATAATTCTACAGACGCTATTGTACATGAAAGTTTTTTCATGCATGTGTGTTTGCCATCGAGAAGGATAAGCGTTCAAGCGGAAAGAAGGCTTTTACGCTACATTACTTACGGCACATTCCTTCTTGGGAGTGTCGGGCGGACTAGCTATGCTACCCTCAGATCTCATGTGTAAAGAACTGCAACTTGGACTCGGTGATAGATCACGCGTATTGGCAGTAGTGCTAATACCGCTCGGTGACTGTGATGGATCTCTCGTCAGGCTGCTAACCAAGGCACTTGTGTCGCTCTGCGTCGAGCCACGACGTTGCGACGTTATGCTGTCAACCATCCCTCCTGACACTTCAAAAAAAAAAAAAAAAAATGGAAAGAATAATAATGTATTAACGATAAAGTTGCATGATATAGATGCATTCGGATATTCAATTCAGTTGGCAAGAATATCGATTTCTCACCTTACTGGTAAACGGACAGTGACAGAACAAGACATTTACAACATTCGCTTACAATTTCATTCAGGGAGTTAAATCGTGCAGATTACTTCGTGCGACCGCGTGTGTAAATTAGAAGGTTTTGGACAAAAGTTTCAAAGGGTATGCAGTATGTATGTCTTCATAAGTATTAAAGTGTAGAAATAATAGAGTACGGAATCTTGCTGATACTCTCTTTGTAATATAAATCTCGATGTAATGTAAACTAGGAGGTAGGGTGAATTAGCGTGTATTAGTGATCTTACCTAACGGGGAGAGGCCGACACTTCGGGGGGAGCCACAGAGTACGGGGCTGCTACTCATACTCTCTCCCCCTCCTATCGCGCTTCTCCCACCTAATAATTTGGATTAATTGTAGTACATTTATGTTGTGTCGAGTATGTCTTACAATTGCGAAGCTTCACTACATTAAATAAGCTTCACTACATTCTCGAATTGCGTAATAAAAGAGTTTACTTTTTGAGTGCGTATGATGTTAATTAATCATGCGTATGTAAAGAACGGAACGATGTCGCGTGCCATTCCGATTGCAATTACGTTAACGCGCATGCATAATACGATGTCGTAATATTCACTGATCAATATGAAGTGAATTCTATCGTGCCATCAATCCTATATGTAAAGTAAATGGTGATAAGTAAAAACAGATCTTTGAAGATAACAGAATTTGTGCACTATTCGATGTCTTACAACTCCAGTAATTTAATAGGATAGGAGAGCGAGTACCTGGTGCGTTAGCAGCAGGAGGGAAGAGGCAATTGCCAGAAACGGCTGGCTGTCGACTGGACCCAGCTAAGATCAACATGACTAATTTGTTATAACTAATCCAAATAGAGTATATTTAATTATTAATATAACTGTCTAAAATTTTTCTATTATCTATCATATATTTCATTATAATATTACTATGTCAAATATCACTTCTTCATTCTCTCTTTCTCTCTCTAATACACAATAGAGAAAAGGAACACAAATATATAAAATATTGCCTTACAAGTATCAGCGTCCGTTCTCACAGCTTCTGAAATAATTTCACTTTCAAAGCGATTGTAGTGCCAAATTATAGAAAAGGAAAGTACACACACGGATGTATAATAATAATGTTAGAAATGAATTATGAAATAAAGATCAGTTAGATAGAGTTAATAGAAAAATAATGATCGCACACGTATTCAACAGATACAAATAACACATACGTACCGGGTATTGGGACTGGACTGGAAGAAGGGCTGTGAAATCTTGGTGACCCACCTTGGGGATTCTTTGGCGAAGAACTTCTTGACATTCGCCGCGGGGTTTCCGGCGGTGTCGCTCCGTTGCCATTTGCACGGCTCTCCCCCATAGCTTTTACCAACTCCTTCACAGATACGCCCACAAATTCAGAGAAATCTCTGAAAATCATATTAATAATACATGCTGAGATGGATACTTGTTACAGAGGAAATTTTTAATTTTAAATTTAAGAATTTAAAATTTATGATAAAAAGATTTGACTTAACTTTTATACACACAAAAAAATCAATAATTTTAAAGTTCGTGTACGAAACTTAAAAGAAATGTTTTCAAATCTTATAATTAAATTCTTTAAGTTTGAAAAAGTTGTATTTCGTTGAAATATTAAAGATTCGTCAGAAGATTATTACGTATGCAAATAAATACCTGCCCGGAGAACTTTTCTTCTCTCCATGACATTTATCATCCCCTCGTAGCCATTTTTGAAGAACGCTAAATTTTCCTCCGCCACCCTCTCTTTCCCGCTCCTTGGCTACTCTTTCCTTGGAATGAGGTTTCGAGAACTTCGGAGTACCATCAGCTTTTTCTGGTGTGAAGCGTTCACTCCCTAAGAGACATACATATTTAGCAAATATTTGAATGCAATGAGTTATCGAGATTTATTTTTACGATTATATACCTGGCGAGTCATGTTGATTGTAGGAGCCAAAAACAAATGGATTTGTATTGCAACTGTCAATGGATTCCGCCGCCGTATCCGGTGTGTAGTTTTGCGCAGTGAAGTTAAAGCCTTCGTGACTAACGGAAGGCACAGAAAAATCGAAACCTTTATTGCCCGGTGAAACGATCGGGTCTGGTATCATCGGCTTTTTCTCGAGCGGATCTAAATCCTGTTCCAGTTTCATGTAAATCACGCTGGTTTGTTTGTTAATCGCGAGCGACCATGCCTCTAGGCCTCGACCCTTCTCGAAGCAATATTTCGCCACCGAGTCGTCATCGATGCGCACCCAAGTTCCTTCATGATTTACACACTGCAAGAGATGAATCACGAGATATAAAAAGTCTTCTTAAAAAGATTGATTACACCTCGTGATTCATCTCTTACATATTCTTGAACGGTCACTGTATTTCCAAGCGCTAGCATTCCGATCGGCGCGCCTTTCAAGCTCGGCTTGCTTCTAATGTTGTGTCCGGAAGCACCGCATTTCACGACTATCATACTTCTTCCGGCGTCGAAAGTCACCGTCTTTCTCTTTCTGCAAGCATTAAATGAGGAAATGGTCGAAAATGGATGATATACGAAACATTTCTTACGTACTCATCGCTAGTGTCAGGACGCTTCCGAAGAATAGTCTCCTTGATAACCTGATCTAAAATAGATTTTGGCTCTTCCACAGGGAGAAGCAGAGTTTTTCCTAAATGTTGATTGTATTGCAAGCACCAAGCCTCAAGATGACTTCTATTACAGTATTCCTTGATTGTCTCGGCGTTTAACCGCAGCCAGACACCATCGTCGTTATGAATCTAGTCAAACGAGAGCAGAGAAAATTTACTATCACTTAAACATCTTATTTCTTCGAAATAAAGAAACGTATAGAACATAATTTAATGTATATAGTATAGAATAGGAAATAATTTTACCATATAATTTCTTAAATTAAAATTATATGAGATAAGAATACAAAAAATATTTTTAACGATTTTGCTTTCCGAATATCTTTAAACTTGACGAAAATGTGTATTATTTTTATTCGTTCGTCTTTACAGCAAGCTTTCAAATAAATTCAATATTAAAGCGTCAATCAAAGCTTGTTAATTACCTCATCAACGAAAGCTATAGTATCGTTAACCGAGACGAATCCGATCTGTTCGCTTTGCAGCGACGGATGGGCTCGTATTCTCAAGCCGGCGCTATTCTTCGCCACGAATTTTCTGAGTCTGCTCGGCTGAAGCTGAGGCTTTTTAACAATGTTCTGAGTGGGTGGTTGCATGCCCTGCGGAGGTTCCTTCACCTCGACTTTGTAATTCTAAATAAAGCGGAATTGGATTAGCCTATTTAAAGCCTATTTTAATTTGAAGCTTATTCTCGACTACAAAAGCAATTAAAATTGAATTCAGTTAGCCCTGAATGAATAATCATAGAGTTATCCTCGGGAGAGGAATTAATTTACGCACATCCTCCATATTGTAACCGTCCACCGTGATCATCAGCGAGTACCAGCCGACGGAGGATGGTGTCCACGTAGCGCTGTAGCTTCCGTCGCCGTTAGGCCTGACCAGCATACTCTCGCTCGATCTCTTCACGGCGGGCGACATGAATCTCAGTTCTTCGAACGAGTAATTCTGATAGGCCTTCATGATGGTGATGGCGTAGAAGCACATCTTGTTGTTGATGGTCACCTCGTACGGAACGTCCAAGGACGGTTGCGGATGACCACCGAATGTCATGGGATCCGGTTGAGAGACGCGACGGATCTTTCTGCTTTGATCGGAATCCGTGATGTCGGTCTTATCAATCGGCACCGCTTTGACCTCGATCTGCAAAGATATAAATTGCGCCTCGACATATATCTCGTAAACTCACCGTGCTTCGCGTCGCGATATCCGAAGAAGGAGCAAATACCTTCAATCCGGGCACGTGCACCACCTCGCCGTATTGATCCCTCGTGAGCACGGTGACGATGGCCGGCCATCCGCATCTCATCTCTTCCCGTGAATATAGCGCCTCGCATTGAGAGGGATCCACGAAGCTGTCCGGTTGCAGCCATCGCGCGAGTCTGCCACCGCTGGTGCCGGCCGAGCAGGAGACGAAATCGCGCAGGAATAAACGTTCGTTCGAGTGGCAACTGAAAATAGCATGCGTGCGGAATTTGAGGAAGATTGAAAAGACATGTCCTTTATATTGAGAATTTATTATGTATATATATATATATATATATATTTACGTTAGATCTATTCGCGGCCACAATTGCCTTTAAATTTTGATTGATTCCTTCTATTTGTATTGCAGTTCAAAATTTATTACAGATATCCAAGAGAAGATTTATAAAAGTTTCAATCGCTCCACAAAAGTTTAATAAAAATCTGATAAAAATACAAAGAAAGTCTTTTATTCTGAATATAGTATAAAAGTTGCACGTCGACTTAATCGTATATTCTGGTTAAAGTGGTGTGAAATTACATAAAATTACGCAAGAGTGGTGAGCGGAGAATTTCTGCTGAAACTTTTAATCCTTCGTTAGCCGCGTTAAAGTGAAAAAAAAAATGAGGACAACGTAACGTCGAGAATGCAAGAGTATCGTATTGAGATATATCGGAATATAAACGTCACGAAAGAGTACGCGAAGGGGAGGGAAGGGGGGGGGCTCGTCTTTATTACGAAATCTCGGTCTGAGTCCGTCACGAGTGCAGGGAGACGGAAGCGAGTACGGTTCGTTAAAACGAGTTTGAGAATCGCGATGCCCCTAATTGGTCGGTGCCTCGCATCGCGGATCCCGACCGGGTGGATCGCGAAATAGAGGACGATGCTCCTCCGTCAGCCAGACAATCGTCGCTTCCCCATCGTTCGGACTCGTCGAGCTCATCCCTAATAAGGCGCAATCACATCGCGGTTCTCCTCTCCGCGCGGGTCCCGTCCAACGTGATCCGCGCCTCGCTACCTATATGTACAGCGAAGCCGACTTCGCGTTTTTACCGTCGTGAGAACCGGTACTCTGGGAAAATCACGCACGCGAGAGAGGTCTCTCGCGGGAGTTCGGTCATTACGGTATCTCCGCGTGAAAAATAAGGGTTTAATTAAAATTCACGGCGACGAAAACCTCGACATTTTCTGCAACGACTCCACTATCGCTGATAAATTTACGATGTGTCAAACGCAATGCGCATAAAGCTTAATTAAGCTCCAGCATGACAAGCACTTGTAATTTCTTTCAGCTCTTTCTTATAAAAAAAAACATCTGAATGTTCGACGAGTTGTTACTGGATGATTCCTCGAAATGTTTAAGAACTTTATAGAGTCTTAAAATCCCCAAGCTATCAGTGAAGTAAATAAAATAATAAACAAGAGAGATTTATGTTTTGCTTATGTTGCCCTTTTTGAACGACATTGAAAGTTGTTTTCTTTCATTTAAACTGATTTGTATAATCAATTTTGGAACAGTTCCAACAGATCTCACTTACAGGTCAAGAGGCGTTATATACATTCCGATAATATCTCGAGTCACGACTTACGAGGTACCTTGGGACTTTCGGTGGTTTGCGGTATCAAACCATGTAACGAATGTAATTTTCGCTCAGTCAGATATAAACGCCGCGGAAGCGGAGCGCTTTTCGCCATCGATCATAGTCACGAAAAAGATGAACGAGCGGCACGCCAAAGATAATAGACGCCGGAGGAAGGACGAGCCGGCATAATACGCGAGAGATCGGGAGGATCGGGAGCTGTGCGGCTTTAAAGATCGGTATCCGCGTGACATACAGCCGGTACGTGACCATTTCGGAAATGGGCACTTCGCGGACGACGACGTCGCTACCGCCGCCGCCGTCGCGTTCCTCCGAGTTTGAGGAACGCGTTATGAATGAATGGACGACGTCGGACGTGTACGCGGAGTCGAGGGAATACGCGCAATTTCTCATGGGAAATTAAATAGTCGAGTTTCCGCTCATAAAGCAAAGAGCTACGATGGCAGTAGCACGTTTTAGGGAAACGCTATCTGCTGAAGAGCTATAGACGTAGGAGCTATACGAGGACGAACGGACGACCGTCCTCCGGACCGGGTTGTCTCCGTTTTTACGGTACCATCACGCGTCGCGTATTTCCGGCACCGACGACGATACGTCGGAGTCGATGGCTCGCGCTCGCTTTTTGCCGCACACGCGGCCATATCTCTTCCCTCGCTCTCGACAAGAAATGCGTAATCGCGGAGATTACCGGCGCTTCGGTTGGAGCACGGAAAAATCGCGAATCCCTTCCCCCCACCCCCTCGCACAAAAATCCGCGCGATGGTTCGTATCCCTGTGGATAACAGTTCTCCCTCGATTTCACTTGCGGAACTTATAAGTTTCGGAATTTTCAAGAAACTTCACGAAAGTTCACATATCAGATTCAAAAGTTCTCTCAGTAACTTTGAAATCCGTTAAATAGTAAGTTTGATAACATTCCAGAAGTGAAAATTCTATATTTCTGTCCAATGCTTTCTGCACAATGACACATGTGTCATAAATACTGAAAGTGTACACTTTCATCGATAAATAGTTTATTTGGATTGATAATATTATCTCCTAATAATTAAATAGATCTTATTTAAATATATCCTAAACAGATATATCTTACAATTAAACAGATAACATATCCTAATCAGAATATATCAAACAGATAATATTATTTTTCTTCTTCAAAATAGTTTAGTTGATATCTTATATATGTATATATATATAAAGATTTCGAAATGCGATTAAAAAATATTTTTCATACATAACAATTAGATTTATGACAATTACATTCAATCTTTTATGAAAGAGAATATTAGTCTCTTTATAATAGTCTTTAAAATAATCTAGTTGATATCTTAAAGATTTCATAATGCGACTGAAAAATATTTTTCATATTTAGCAATTAGATTTACGCGACAATTACATTCTGATCTTTTATAAGAGCGGTATCAATTGGACTATAGGATAGGACGAGCCCTGAACATGGTTTACGCAATTAGCATCCGTAGTAAACGTGGGTCATCGACGTAGCCGAGGATCGTAAGTTGGTCAAGGTCGCTTTTACAGGTGCGTACTGATGGTGTCGGCCGATGAGTTCGAAAAATCGACGACCACGCTCTCGCGAATCTTCGACGTCGGTTCTCCTGGTGAAGCGTACAAGCGGACCGATCGGACCTCGAAGAAGGCACCGATGTTCGTCCCGTATTCTCGGGCCCGATGACGAGTCCGTGGCCTGGCGTTCATCTTTCCGAAGGCCGAAGAGGGAGAACGGCGCGGCAAGAGATGGAGAGAGCGAGTGGCAAGACTGGCAAGGCGAGTCGAGCCACATGGATCTATGGTGGGGAGCAGACACCGATCGTGCATGCCACCGGCCACAACAGTTTAAAAGCAACCTCCGTCATGATCGCGTCAGCTGGATTCTAAGTTACTCCTACCGCTTCCCTGCTCTTCGCTCGTTTTCCTCAAACAACGAGCCAACCGCGCGCGTATCGGAACCGCGCTCAGTCCGCTCCAAAACGGTCGACCGCCAGTTCCTATCACGCGGAATGTCGATCGTTACGGATCGATAAGGGGAGGAGATGAGCCTCCCTCTCCTTCCGGAATCGATCGGTGGAGGAAATCACGAGCGGATAAAGAATACAAAGTGGATGATACTTGCGAGCACAGTATCTTCCGATCGATGGAATGAGTCGATAACGATCTCCGGCTTCGCGCGAGTGCGTCGTTCTGCAACGCGAGTGATCGGATCGTTATGAGAGAGGCGAGGAATCGGCGCAGAATCGGCTGGTGATGATCTAACCGCTCGACCGGGGATCGTCGCAATGAGTGTCAAGCGAAGAGTGTTCAGCGCCCTGGATGGGCTTATTAAGTGTGATCGTGCGATCGTATGCTCGATGTTCCTATGGTATCTCGCGTTCCTACTGTGCACCGTCGAGGCCGCCGATCATCCAGGGATATGCGCCATGGCTGGCTGTAGCTGCACCGTCAAGGCGCACCATTGGGTTAACATCAAATGCGTCTTCTCCAAGGAACAGGCAAGAACATATTCTAACTTGTTGCCGCTGTCGGGAAAGCGGGAGGGGGAGGACGGGTAATTTTGCGTTGATACACTCAAAAAAAAAATATCAAAGTGACAGGAAGGCATCTATCAAACCGAGATTATCTACTGTAATTCTCTTCTTTTTTATCACATTTCTTTGAAGAAAGATAATTTACGAGCTTAATGGCAGCATACGATTCCTGCAGAGGGAACATAAATTCTATCTCCTTTACATCAGCTCATACATTTCTAACTAAAAGATAATAAAGGTAATAAAATACGATAACAGTTGGATAATGCTAAAGAATAAAAGTACCGATTCTGGGTTTTATTCTTATCGCGTTAGAGATATTCGTTGGTATCGTGAAATATCGAAGATCGCCGTCGAAGCTACGTAAGCGAATATGTAGCTTTAAAGTTATCAAAACGGGATTGCTTTTCGCGTGCGGTATGCGCGACGACGTGCGATTTTTCGCGATATATTTACGGTTTACGCGAAATCGTTTTATTTTCGTTCGGCATGTCGCGTTCGCTACTCTGAAAAGTGGAATCGTTAATGCACGACAGTGAAAGTTTGTCGAAGTCTTGGGAGACTTGGATTCGCCTTCCACGCGGGATTAGCATATAAATCATTGGCCCGTGAAGACGGTGGGAATCGCATGCACGCACGCGCACGTTCGATACGTGCGAGTGCACGCAAGTATGTACATACATGCGTAAGCATACCGCTGAAGTCGACCTGTAACGGCGCGGTCTAATGTTCAAAATAGCTGCGAACTGACATTACAAATTTAAACCTTTATGCATACGAAATATGCAGTTGCTAAATATAAAATCTCGCTTGCTCGTAATAAAAGGAAAAGGACATACACGTTGAAACGTCTGATATTATTTCTGGGACTCCGAGAGACTCACATGTTCGTTCTTTCTATATATATTTCCATTATAAATGCAACATCCGGATGTTCTTTTGCATTCCAGTATTAATGGTGCTGTATTTATAACAGAGTGACGTTCTTTACAATAGAAATGAAACTGTTCTGATGATACAATAGAAACGTTGAGGAACGAAAGAACGTAGGACTTCGCTCTTAAATCCGTCCCTGCGAAACAGGCTGTAACTTGTACTTGCCACGTTTCTGCGCGGCGCAACATGCAGCAGCCACCGTAGCCCTCCACTTGCCGTTGTCAGCTGCACTCAGCTGGATACCATCCAAGCACAACCCGAGCACAACCGATGCAACGGAGTATTACGCTACGCGCTTCGTAATTCACGCGAAGTTTTCGACAAGAGAGAGACTTTTGGGTAGAAAACGTGATAAAACTATGCGCGCAGCTGTCGGTAGCGATAACTTGTTCAAGTGCAAACACCGTAAGACGAGAAATGTAGAGTAGCATCTCGTTGATTTGAAATTTTAAGACGGAGATCTGAGTTGATACGGACAACACCGAATATCGCAAGAATTTACGTGCAACGCCGAATATTGCAAGAATTTCAGCGATATACGTTGCGCATTACGGTGCGTAATTCGATTTAGTTTCGCGCATAAATCTTACGATATGCATTATGACGTAAATCTTTAAATAAGATGGTACATTATACCAGTTTCTGACATAGAAAATTGCTTTTATCACAAAAGATTAATGATAACATTATTCGCGCAGAAAACCCATGCGATATATTATATAATATTAAAAATTGCAATTTTTCCTGTTTCATATTTTAAAGCGGAGGCATCTCATACAAAGAATATTATTTGACTCGTCATAAGAATATAATAAATGCAGATTGATACAAAAAGTAATATAAAAATATAAATAAATGCGTTTTGATGTGTGTAACAAGAAAATCACACATGTTTCATTTAGTACTGCGCGTAATATTCAGAGCTGATAATCCAGAATTTTTCGTCGGAGAGGAAGATTGAATTTCTTAATACGCTTCTTGACCGCAAACTGGAGTAAGCCTATTCCCTATCTACGCTACAATCAACCGCTCGCATAGAAACGCAACGGAAACCAGTTTTAAGGGGCATTCACAGCACTGCAGGTCTCTCTTGCAGACGCACTGTCTAAGGATCTTATTAAATTGTTTCGTTTCATTGCTTTAGTCGCCATTCACTATTACGATCTTCAGATTGCTCCGTTTTAAACGAGCTCTGAATAATCGGCGACAAATGTTATACACATTTTTTTCTCTGTAATTCCTTCATTAAATAATTAATTAGATCTAATTGGAAACTGCAAATATAAATTGATCTATACATTTGAAATATTTATTAAATATTATTTAAAGATGACAATAAACATGTGTCGGATTAACGCAAACTGCTAAATGTCGTTGTCAAAACATTGTAAAAAATATAACAATACGTAAATATTTCGTCGTTCAAGAATCTAAAATCTGAAAATCAATACTTTGATGGAGATATTTAGATTCGTGTCAATTTGGTTGAATAAAATGTAATTGATACGATTCTTGCATGTGTTTTAATGTCATTTTTAGATCGTTGCTAGTGATTTTTATCCGTTCGATAAACGCCTATCATATTAAGCGTAGGCGTGACGTATAGAGTAACATGTACCCGGTGTCCTCAGCAATTGACGGACAGCAAAGTGACTGGTGTCGATGAATCAAGTCGATAATATGGTGTCTCGATCCCATTCCTAAGTATGAAACAATCAGGGTTGGGAAGTAACTCGTTACTTGTAACAAAGTTACAATTACAGTTACTTTTTTTCATTAACTGTAACTTAACTTCGTTATTTACTTTCCATGTGTAACTATAACCTAACTAAAATTTTTTAAGTAACTAGTACCTAATTTAATAGTTACTTTTACAGTTACTTTATATCAAATCGTCACTTTCATGAATCAAAATTATGCAACACTTTCAATCACCTAATCGTAATTTTGATTGTAATTATGCGAAATATTTAAATGCTCATATTTAAATATGCGCATTACTTTTCTTTTTTAAGTAAAATTATATAATATGTAAATGTAAACCAGTATTTTTTTATAATGCTAATGTTGTTTTATTAAAAGTAATTGAAAAGTAACGATTCGTTACTTTTTGAATAACTGTAACATTTTACTTTTCAGAGTAACTTGTGATGGTAACTAGTTACTTTTTGAGAGACAAAAATTGTAACTGTAACTAATTACTTTTACAAAGTAACTTTCCCAACCCTGGAAACAATAAACGCGATACCCGAGAGTTATTGGGTTTTTTTTTATAGAAGGACCTCTAAAAACACACTTAGAAATGCGATGCCCGAGAACCATTGGATTTTTTTTTACGAGGGATCTCTAGAAACACATTTAGTTTTCAAGGATGATGTAATCGGGAAGCGAGAGCATTGACCAAACGAGTCGTGACAAGTTCGTTTTGCTTGCTGAACGGTGTCTACAGAAACAACAATTGGCAGCGTTAGGTCACTATTATACTACCGGACGGCAAATACTTGGTAATCAAATCAGATTCAGCCACGGCGTCACTTATCATTCCAACGCCATTAATTCCATTTACCGTGCAGCCAGCATCGCCGCGTGGTAACTGGCCGGCATACTCCTTGCCAGCTCGTGTGCAAGTTCACTCGTATCGAGGCAAGGACACTCTAATTTGGATCGGCGGAAATGACAAATCAAGCGGCGATCGAACGCGATCTGAAATCAGCGGCGATTTCATAAGAGTGCAGAAATGCGTGTGTTCCTCGCGCGGTATCTCCCTCGCGAGGGAAATAATGCGACGTTTCCTCTCTCGCGGTCATTTATCCCGTCAATAAAAAATGATTGAGCTAAGCAAGGATGAGTTCATACACGGGCTATTCTCCGTCTATCTTAGAACACAATTATGTTTAGTAAAAAAAAAAAGAATACGAAGTTATTGCGTGTTTCATATAGATATTTACTTTTGCTTATCTTTACCGCTTTTATCTCTCGTATTTTTATCGTAACTTAAAACCAGCATTCTATACCTGAGTTCGAAATAAATTTGTTTAGCATGTTTCTAGAAACTCAATTGAAATATTACAGCAACGTCTACTTAGCGATGCATCGGCGTGTTACATCGCGTCATTAAATCCGATTACGACTTACCGAGGCAATTCCTCGCAATGACCCTCGCGCGACTTAGATATGTGGAAAGATTTCCGACAATAGCCAACTTGCTTGGCACTTTGCACGAGTAGATCGACCCGATAGGGATCCCTCGCATTCGTCCTCACGCATTCGGTTGAACCTAGGCGATTTCCGGCGCATGCAATTTCCGGTCGGAGGGTCCATTACGACCAAAGTAGAGGTATGCATTGTCCGACCTCGCTGTTTCACGAATTTTGTGGCCCACCCGTTCGAAAACTTGAAATCTATTTCACCGTCGTCGTGTAAGTTTAACTGCAGTAATGTAATTAATTTTTCACTTCGTTTCAATCAAATATTTTTAAAGAGAACTTTCTTTCGTTTCCTTTTATAATTAGAATTCCTTAATAATTTAGAAAATGAGATGTTGAGATGTTGAGCAGCATTAAAAAAAGGACACATAAATTAGATGAGAGACCAATCGATTGATCGCGAATTCTGCGCCGATAATGATTTTCCACGCAGCTGATTTCAGGGCTTCATCTTCAAGTGCATCGCGTTGCGCTAACGCCAAGATTTAATTCGAACGCTCCGCGGCACTGTTATCCGGTGGTCGTCGACCCGAAATTACACGTGGAAACAACAATTAACGTTGGCGCACCACGTGCTGGCCACTGTTCCGAAACAATTTCGGCGTGGCGGCAGTTTAGACGTGCGATTTAACACTCACGGACCCGTTAATAAGCGGCGGCTTTTCCCGACTAACTCGATTACAAGCCGATCGCGCGATTATGGTCGGGGAGGCGGCTGAATCTGTTAATGCAAACCGGCGAAAACAATGCGCCGCCGATTAAACCGCGGTTGCATGCATCTCCGCTGCTGGCCCTTTCTGCAACGGTCTAGCAACGTCGCCC